CCGCTCGCCCGCATTTTGGGTCCCATGTCGGGTCGGGTCAACCCGGCAACCTACCGGGTCGGGTCCGGGTTCGGATTTCCGACCCGTTTATCTACCCTGGTCGGGTTAGGGTAGACCCGTTTGAGCCCGGGTCAGTTCGGGTTCGACCCAAACTCGACCCGTGACCCGAAATTGACGCCCCTATATACACTCACAGTCCGAACGCATCTTTTCCTTCGGGACCTTGCATAGAATAATTTCTCCGTATAGCAGGTGCTCTCTTTGCTCTCCAACTCTCCAAAGTCAAAGGATTACATTCATCGCATCTTTCTATCATTACCATGATAATAAAAAATCAACATACAAGTTGAATAATAATGTTGTATAAATTGCAAGGTGCGAGTATGGTAGGTAAACTCGCTTTATAAATCATTGAAATCAGATGTTGCACTTCATTTTCATGGGCAAGAAAAACTAAAAAGATTATTTGAAATCAAAACTTAAATTTTATTGATTTTTGGAAGGAGCAGCGAGGTTTCGCTAGGAAAAAGGGAACAGTGGGCATCAAGAGCAGTGGGTGGCAGATTAAGCTTTCATTTGGGACGGTTTTCTTGCTGCTTTTTTAAACGATTTTTTAGTACAAAATTTTTTAATTCATAAAAAATTTTGTACTAGAAACCTGTTTAAGAAAGCAACAAAAAAGTTATTCCAAAATATGCCTAAGAGAAAGTTCTAGCAATTGAGAGGCGGCACAGGGTGGCGGAGTATGATTGGGGAAAAAAGGCGGTTTGGCCGGTAGGAAGCATGGACACAACTCCCCTTGGCCTATTGGTTGAGAGCTTAGGCTTCCAACTAAGAGGTCCAAGGTTCGAGTCTATGTGTATGCGTTGTGTGTGTGAGTTTGCCTTAAATGGCCTAAATGTCCCAAAAAAAAGGTAGGAAGCATGGCCTGTAACATCAAGTGAGTGATCGGGAGCAAGGGCAATGGGGATTAAGAGAGAGCTTGAGGTGGTTAGGTCATCAAGTGAAGGAATTTTTATTGCCTCGGGTTACCTGACGCAACGATACGTTCGGTACCCCTTAAAAATGCGACACCTGGTAGCCACCTTTACCCGTAATGACCCGACACAGCCCATACGCTTTAGCACATTTTTTAAATTTTTTTGGGTCGGCTCGTCGTCGCATTGTATATGAATTGGGCGGGAAAACTAAGAAAGTACGCGGCTTTTACCTCTGGTATAATAACATGAGGTATTAAACCTAAGATGTTATATAGTCTTTAGGGTTCATATAATTCTCATATACCTCACGTAAAGATATCGTGAAGTGTTTGAAGAGATGGAAGAATAGAATGTAGGTTTACCTTCGGACGACTTCGTTGATTTCGAGGAAACTCAGACGTTAAACCTTGATCAAGCGTTTTCTGATTTAATACAAGTCATTAGCTTTATTGTAAGGATTTTTTTTTTCTTTTTACTGTTTCATTACTGGCTATCAATGTAAAATTATAAAAATACATTAGATTTACTCGGTACAGTGTTTGACTTACCTCGGTACTGATCGGTACTAAAACCTGAGGTATTAAACCTAAGATGTTATACAAGTAAGTCATTAGTTTTATTGTTTTTTAAAATAGTTTTTTAATAAAAATTTAAAATTTTTATACTAAAAAGTTACTTTAATAAGCAGTAAGAAGGTCATCCCATACAAAACCTTAATAAGATAATGATAGGATTGGTTTAAACTAGTGCTAATAGGTTACAATAGCAGTGATTTGAACCGTTGCTGTTGAATATTTTGTAGCAACAATTAAAATCATTGCTAATAATTAAGTACTATCTTAAGTGGCACATGCATTTTGGTAGTGATTTATAATGTCATTCTTAGGCTTTATTTGTAACAGTTTCCTTACTACTTTCTAAATCAATTTTTTAAAATAAAAATTTATAGTTCAAAATTTTTTTGTACTAAAAAATCTCTTTAGAAAGTAGTAAGAAATCAATGACTTACAAAGTTTTAGGTTTCGTTTGAGATTGCTTTCTTGTTGCTTCTTAAAACAGTTCTCTAGTACAAAAATTTTAATTTTTATATCACTACAGGAAAACAGCTCATTTCCGGCGTAATTTCCAGCGGAAATAAATTCGTCACAAATTCCAGCAGATTTCCGACACATTTTTTGACTGATTTTCCGACGGATTTTTTCCGACAACATTTCCGGCGAATTTCGACGGAAATTAAAAAATTAAGTTATATTTTAATAACTTATTATCAAATTAAATTATAAAAATAACTTAAATTATAATTTAATTATTTAATAACAAAAAATTAAATGATTTAAATTTAAACTTAGTCCACCGCCGCTTTGGTATTAATTTTTTTAATTATTTTTCTTAAAATTCCGACGGAAAAAACATCCTACGTAAATATTTTTCCAGCAGAAGATCCGTCGGAAATACGTCGGAAATATTTCCGTCGGATTATTTTTCGTCGGAAGACATTTATCGACGCACGCCAAACCGGCGTACCAAAATCAGCCGGAAACCAAGAAATTCCGTCGGATTTTACGTGTTACCGACGGATTAATAGCATGTTTTCCTGTAGTGTATTAAAAAGCTCTTTTAAGAAGAAGAGAGAAAGCTATCCCAGACGGCTTTTTTATTAATTGCTTCTTAAAATGTCGTCCTAAACATAGCCGTAAGTTTCGTTTGGGACGACTTTTTCATTGCTTTATAAAGCGGAGTTAAAATGTATATTGGAGTTTTAAAAAGCCGTAAAAACTATATGATTTTTCTATTTTTTATTACTATAAATTTTCTAATACGTGACAATAATAAATTAATTTAAATTATACTATCATGAACTTTCTAATACTAATTTTATTTTAAGCAGCACTGCAAAATGAATCAATTAAAATATATATTGGACTTTAAAATAAATATACAACAACAACATCAAGCCTTTATCCCACTACGTGGGGTCGGCTACATGGATCCTTTTTCTCCATTGTGTCCTATTAAAAGTCAAATTCTCGTTTAAATCTAATAAAGAAAGGTCATTCTTAATATTTTCTAATGAAATTTATTTGAATTAAATTTTAGTTAATAATCCGCACCAATCATTGTTTAGTGAGCAATACAATTGTGCACATATTTGTGTTAATCTCTTGCCCACATGAAATTATTAGTGCGGTGACCGGACGTCATCTAAAGATCAATCAGGACGTGCCACATCACCAATTCACTGTGTACAATCACTATGTACCACCATATATCGAGTGACATGATACGTCTTAACTGGTCCCTGAATGATCCGATGATTGTAGCCGCTAGACTCGGATTGCCCATCACAGCACACTCTATAAACAAAAAACAGCCACACCCACCAATTAAACTCAAACAAGTCCCAAAAGGTTAAATTTGTGTATTATTTCTATCTCCAGCTAATTTTACTGTATTAGAATCATATATATATATAAGTTTTTTCTATTTTAAACAGTTTGTTTAATGAATAAATTAAACAGTTTTTTTATATAAATTTCTATTCTAAAAATTGCATTTAAAAAGCAAAGTAAAATATTGTTTGTTTGTTTTTTATTTTAATTAATTATGACAGCATGAAAATAAGAAAACATAAATCACCTAAAAAAACCTTTGGATCTCAACCGTTCAATTGAGATAGTTTTGTTACAACATTGCTTTACAAATAATTGCCAAACATTTTTTGTCTTCAATTTTATTTGGAGCAACTAAAGGTTCGTTTAGGGCAATTACAACCATACGTAAGAGCTGTTCTAATATTATTATTATGGGAGAATTAAAACTTTGTAAGATTTAGGTTTTGTTTGGGACGGCTTTCTTACTGCATCTTAAAACATCTTTTCAGTAAAAAAAATTTAATTTTTGTGCTAAAAGTTACTTTGAGAAGCAGTAATAAAGCCGTCCCAAACGAACCTTTAGTTCGGGATGGCTTTCTTACAGCTTTTTAGTATAAAAATATTTTGACATAGAAATTTTTGTAATAAAAAGCTATTTTAGAAAGCAGTAAAAAAGTTGTCCTAAATGAAGCCTAAATTTTTTGTTGTATTGTAAAGCTTTGTTTGAGAAAACTTTTGGCCACTATTTATAGAAAGCATTAACAAAATTATCCAAAAAAAAAAACAAATTTAAATAATAAAATCATAACTTTTTTAACAATATTAAACTCTAGCATATTTCAATATTAAAATAACTCCTCAGTACAAAAAATAATGAAAAAAAATAAGTAAATTGTAGCCAAATGTGATATGATTTCCTTCTAAATTTCAAAGTTATGAAAAACTACATAAAATGAACCTTACATCTTTTTAATGTTCTTAAAAAATTAATGATAAAGATTAACTTTTTACAATTAAATTTACAAATGGACATAGTTGTAAAATATTAAATTTTTAATATTTATATTGAAAAAAAATGTACAACCGTCTCGATCAAATCCGAACAAAATAAAATCAAATAATCCACCACCCTAGCTTAAACCAAACCCAACCAAATCTATCTGACCCGGACCATCTCACTCTTCGGGTCGGGCCCCACCTCCTCCCTCTCTCTCTCCCCCTCTCGCTCTCTCTCTCCCCCTCTCGCTCTCTCTCTCTTGCTTTCTCAAAACTATTCACTCCCTCCTTCCCCTAAATCCATCATTCTTTCGCTCTTAACGCTCTTAACGTTCCCATCTCCTTTCTTAGGTCCTAACTCTTAACCCTCTCTCTCTCTCTCTCTCTCTCTCTCTCTCTCTCTCTCTCTCTCTCTCTGTCTGTCGGTCTCTTCTCCTACCCTTTCTCTCTCCTCAACCAAGTTAAAAAAAAACACTACGACTGTGATGACCAACTAGCATACTTAATTACCACCAAAACCCGGCGGCGGAGAGATCCGGTCCATGGATCCACCCGTCGCCGAACCCTCCGGTTCAGCTGATGAACCCGATCCTTCATCCCCGCAGCCACCCCCACCACCACCCCCAACCGTATCACCCTCCGCCGCAGCCGCCGCCGCAGCCGCTGCCGCTGCGACAACATCCTCATCCTCCCCATCTTCATCACAACCAAGCCGCTACGAATCCCAAAAACGCCGGGACTGGAACACCTTCCTCCAATATCTCCGGAACCATAAACCTCCTCTTACTCTCTCCCGCTGCAGCGGGGCCCACGTGATCGAGTTCCTGAAATACCTGGACCAGTTTGGCAAGACCAAAGTCCACGCTCAAGACTGCCCCTATTTCGGGCACCCGAACCCGCCCGCTCCCTGCCCCTGCCCGCTCCGCCAAGCCTGGGGTTCCCTCGACGCCCTCATCGGCCGATTACGGGCCGCCTATGAGGAAAGCGGCGGTCGGCCCGATTCCAACCCGTTCGCCACCAGCGTTGTCAGAATTTATCTAAGGGAGGTGAGAGAGTCACAGGCGAAGGCTAGAGGAATTCCATATGAGAAGAAGAAGCGGAAGAGACAAACAGGAATGACTTCTACTTCTTCTTCTTCTTCAGCTTCTGCTTCTTCTTCAAAGGCTTCAGACAAGGCCGGTGAGGGTGGCTCCGGCATCGCCGGCGGCGGAGAATAGCTAGCTTCTTCCTCTTACTTATTTTTCTCTCTCTATCTCTTGTTTTTATTTTTTGTTTTTTTTTTTAATTTAAAGTTGGGTATTAATTTCTTCTTTGTTATAATTTGGTGGTAATTCAGAGGGATTTGGATTTTGGAAAAATAGTTAATCATTTAGGCGTGCAAATGCTGTTAAATTATTAAAATTTTAGAAGTTAGATTCTCTTTAAATTATTGGAATTTGGTTCATTGCAGTGATTTTTTAAAAATAGAATTAGTTCAATTTCGATTTCGATCATTTAAAATGTATTAAATGGTTAATTAGAATGTCTTAATTACGTCAC